TCGCCGTCTTGGTTACGGGTACACGCTGGTATCAGCAGATGACAAAGGAGGCAACTTATCCCCAGAAGATACCTGCTCATTAAAGACATGTGATCTGAACAGTGCATCGACAATTGGGAAGGGTCATGGCAAAAGATCTGCCAGCGCTGTTGACAAGCCTTGTACGGAGCAAGACAATAAGACGGGATCAGGGAAAGGATTGCCAATCTTCGATTTTATGACGCACCGTCTAAATCTCCATCACTGGTCCGGTGCAACCACATCCTCCGGAGCAAATCAAGTCGACGAGGGGTCAAGTAACACATCAGTCACATCTTTGCTATGGGAAAAGTTCGGATTCTTGAGGAAGAGCCAAAATGAGCCTGACACACATGTAGATCAGAAACCCCCTTGGAGTCATTTTTGTGGAGTTGGCTTGGACCAAGCATTGGATGGGACACTAACCCCGCACAGAGATACGACTCCCCCAGTAAACGGCGAAGACGGGCAGTTGTCGAAAGGGCGGACGGGGCTACATCGTGCTCGAAGCCTATGGACCAAAGGTCGCACTGTAACGGACAGAGCTCTCTGCCTTGAGACAAAACTCACAACGAAGATACCATTATCTATCAAGCAGAATCCCGGGCTACGGAGGGAAAAGACACGAGTTATTAAACTCAAGAACCGGGACCGTAAGAAGACCATCAACAATAGCCTTGACGAAGAGAAGCCTATCTTCCCCGGTCCTAAGCAACATGAGCTTTCCGCAATCTCACGAGTGGAGGAGAGCCATGGACCCAGTACGGGCAATCATGAAAGAAGGGACGGTACCTTGCAAGGAACTGAGCGAAATAGTTCGGACACTGACTTGGCTGATGCGTATGAAGATTGTCTGGAGGTCCATCCTATTCCTGATTAGAGGCTCACGCATCAACAGTAGCGCTATGTCTTTGTGCTCGATCAATTCCGCAAAATTGGAGGGTGATCAAGGATACGATGGCAATAGATGACCTTGAGACCAAAAGCCCTAGCCAGAGTGATCTTTTCATTGGTTGTGAAAACATAGGCTGGAGTTCAGTTTCAAATTGGGCTGGGAACTCTGAGTGCCTTGTCACCTAGTAAGAGGTCATTGATATGGAACTAGCGATTAATCATCGATAAAATACTCTGAATGCATTAGAAGTTACCCAAAAGATCCCCCGAGGATATTCATGTAGTCGTACATAGGTATAGTGATACACACAAAAAACGCCATTAAGTCACACGTAAAGCTCACTTCTTCTGCCGCTTGGTACTTTTATCACTGGTGTTGCTTAGGACACTGGCTGAACGCTTTTGCGAGGTGCCCTCTCGCGCTGTCGCTTCACCAGTATGACCACCACCGGCCTCTGCCTCCTTGTCTTCTGTACCACCCGCCGTCTCCGCTTGACCTTCTGCAGAAGGTAGAGCAGCAGACGCAGCACCGGTAGGCTCAGTAGCCACATCTGCTGTTGGAGCCGGGTTATCGTCTTGTTCTGTCTTTACCTCGGGCTTCTCTTTCTCTTTGGCTTCTTTTGCTTTGCGCTCTCTTTCCTGCTTAGCGGCTTCCAGTACGCGGATCTCACTCTCCACCTTTTCGGCCACTTTGCGGGCGTCAAGCAATAGGTTCACTGAGTGGATCAGCTTCTCGAACTCCTTGCATACCCGTTCTGTAGGCATGACCAGCCGAAGCGGCACTTCTAGCTCAGCGAGTGCAGCAGCCAGTTTCTGGGTCTGGACGTTGGACTTGGCCTGCGTCAGTTTCTGGGCACGATCGCTACGGAACTGTACGCCTGGAGCCAGACGGTCGTGATGCTGCACTCCGTATCTGGCCTCTTCAGATGGTGTGAGCGTTCTGATGTTCTGTTGAGCCTCTTTGTTCGCTGCGGCCGCGGCCGCGGCTTTCTTGTTTGTAGGCGCTGCTGGTGCGTTGCTTGGGGTTTCGCCACGGCTGTCACGGGCGTTTGCATTCGGTGCTGGGGTCTGTGCGGCAGGACTGGGTGCGGCGCCCTCGGGACCAAGTATAGAACGTCGCTTCTTGCTCTTGTCAGCTTGGAGAAGGGTCTGCAGCAACTGAGACAAGCCCTGGCTGGACTGGTACATGGTGGTGTTGCCCACGCTAATGGGAACCTCAAGGCGGGAGTACAGCTCTCTGCGCTCTGCGATGAAGGTTTGCTCGTTTGCAGTAATGCGTTTCAGTTCTTCCAGCAGGACTCCTTCCTCACGCACTGCGTCAGCCGTACGTTCCAACTGTAGAGCGGCAAGTTCTTTCCGTGCCCGCTCGCGCTCGGGCTCGAATTTCATCATCTTCTCGTGCAAATCGAATTCGGCCTCGGACATTTCCGAAGGAGGGTGTTCTAGGGCAAGCATCGATGCAGCAACAAAGTAGTACCGTGCCTTCATGTGCTCCATAGTTCTGACCTGCTTGGCCGGTACAAGCGCACTGTTGTTTGTTTCCGCATCGACGGGATGTGGCTGGAAGTCGTAGCGGTCGGCGATAATCACCCATCGTAGATCGTACTCCTCGACTAAATCCATCAAATAATCTGTCTCCTGACGCGACCAGTCATCGCTCTTGAGATGTCGGTTGTACTCTTCGTCTGTGTATCGCCGCGGTACTCGAGCTTTGACGTTGTATTTCGCAAAGAGGTATTCCTGGTCCGGGGTTTGCAGGGCACCTTCATCCTGTTTCTGTTCTTCACCGTCTGTCTCTGGTCCCTCCAGCGCCGGTTTTGCAGTATCGCTTTGTCTTTGCCAGTGACGTAGAACGAGTCCATCCGATCGAGCTTCATTGGTGAAGGGAGCCATGTGCCTAGTAGGAAAAAGTGATCATCAGTATAGATTCTCACACTGCAAGTTAGAGAGAACATACCATGGACGAACTCTCAGCTTGCTCATCCATTTCGGGCGACCTTTGTAACGGTTCTCGTTGATGGCGATCGGAGGTGCTCTTTCGCCGAGCAAGGCGTACAGTTCACGAGTGATACCCTCTAAGAATTAGAATATTAGAAGCTGCACAAAACGGGCGCGTAGTTGGGGGTCACCAACCGGGCCTCTTCTCGACGACCTTCTGTTTCTTATGCGGTCGGGGTTGGCCCTCCGCGGGCAAATCCAACATGTCGCGAACATCGGCGGCGGCCATGGCGGGTTACCACCACTCTTCGAGTGTTTGAAGATCACAGGTTAAAATTTGTGGGTATTGGTTGAGGATGAAAGGGGAAGGTGTCGAGGAACAGAAACAAAGGAGGTGAGAAACAAGAGGGATATGAAAGGATGGAGGGAAGTAGTCGTAGTAGTAATGAGTAGGGGAGTGAATGATTGAATGAAGTGAATAAATGACGGGAGAATTCAATTCGCGCCAAGACTTCCGTCCGTTGCTGCCACATTGAGCATCAACATTCGGCCACCTCTTCTTCCACTGTTTCACCTCTCCTCCCCTCGATCTCCCCAGAATTCCAGAACCCTCGCCATTCGGATCTCCTTCATGATGGCGTCGACATCCTCGACCTCATGGCTATCCTCCCTCTTGGCCTTCTGCGCCATCCTGTGCCTCTCGGTGCCTGTTAACGCCCTCTACTTCTATATCGATGGACGTCAACCCAAATGCTTCTTCGAGGAGCTTCCCAAGGACACATTGGTTGTCGGTATGTCACCAACCAATTCGTTCGGTGTGAATTTACTTCGACTGTGTCATAGATATGCTAATACCCACGGACAGGAACCTACTCCACGCAGGTCATCAACCAACAGTCGAACACGTACTCCGTTGATCCCAGCCTGAAGATGCTCATTACCGTCGACGAGACCTTCGACAACGACCACCGGGTCGTCTCCAAGCGCGATGGTCACTCCGGCCGCTTCACCTTCTCCGCTGCTGATGCCGGCCAGCACAGGATCTGTGTGACCGCCGAGACGAGTGCCGCGACCGGTGGCTGGCTGTCGGGTGCCCCCGCGGGCGCTGTCAAGGTGACTCTGGACATGGCCATCGGAGAGACCAGCAAGATCGAGACGGAAGACAAGGGCAAAATCCAGGACATCGTCCAGAAGGTGAAGGATCTCAACGGTCGGTTGCAGGATATCCGGAGAGAGCAGGTGTTCCAGCGGGTATGTCTTACGCAATTCTATCGGTTCTAAGTGTATACCTGTGGCATATGATACTGACCGGGTTACTTTTCTCTAGGAACGTGAGGCCGAATTCCGTGATCAGTCTGAAGCTACCAACTCCCGTGTCGTCCGGTGGACCCTGATTCAAATGGCTGTCCTGTCCGCTGCCTGCGCTTGGCAACTGTCTCACCTCCGCTCGTTCTTCATCAAGCAGAAGCTGACATAATGGATGAGGGCATGGAGAAAGGGAAATAGGGAAAAGAGGATACAGTTGTTGTCCGACGTACCTTGTATATGGGGTTATATTTGAGTTCATTATCTCCTTGATCGTCTATTTCTTTGGTTCGTCCGAAACAAATCAATGGAACTTCATGACAATTTAGATGTATCTGTGGGCTGAATGGTTCTTCTCAGTTCCTAGCCGTAGGCTCAGGTTTATTGCTGGGATAGCTTGTCGGACATGAAAGACTGGGAAATGCCTATTATGCTTGCCCTTCCAGTGTTATATGATGCGAATGAGTCGATTGATAGATATGGATGTAATGACCTACTCTGCTTGTATTTCTATCCAATGTATGTTTCAGGTGTTTCGGCATAGGGTGGCATCAAGCGAAAACGATAGAGCGTAGCGATTTTATTTAATATGGAATCCAATTGCCATTATCATTGAAACTGTCGTGTATGTGTCTATGTACCTCTTATGCTTCTTCTATTTATTGTTTTTCTTTCTTTTTGCTTTCCCTGGTCTCTTTGGCTCTCCAAGTCATGATCATTATTGTTGACGGTATATCGTTCGTTAAGTACATCAGATCAGCACTTGGTGAAAAAAACTCTCAATAACGTCTGTATATGCATTAAGAACCCCAAAAATGATGTGGTATATAGCGGGAACTTCAAATGAAATAAGAGATTAGTAAATATGGAAAAATGGCGGTCAATATTATTCGACCCAACTATTTCATGCCTTCATTGAGTCATTGTTTTGCTTTGCTGTATCATCACCGCAGCAGAAACTCATGATGAACCGTTCCAAATCTGTCAGCTTGTAGGGTTTGGTCATATAACCTTTCATGCCGACTCTCGACGCACGTCCCAGGGCATCATCAGTCACATCGGCACTGACAGCAAGAACCGTCGGGGGTGTGGTTCGAACAGGCTTTGCAGTATGAGAATCCGTAGCACGCTGGCTGATCCCAGGATTAGGAGGGATTTGACCGTGGTATTGGTCCACTAATTGCAAGATCCTTGAGGTAGCCTCGTAACCATCCATTTCTGGCATCCAAAGGTCCATTAGAATGACATCCACCGGCTTGAGTTTCTTGCGGTACTTTGGTGATGGCTTGAGGATTGAGCGATCGTCTGAGTCGCTACTCTGGTTCGTGACTGCGTGAGAGCCATTCGTGGCCTCCTCAGGGCGCTGCGACGCCAGAACATCCTGCATAATCCGCACAGCCTCTCTCCCATTGCATGCCTCATAAACATCCCGGTAACCAAGCCTTTTGAGCATGTTCACCAGCACCCGTCGGTTGATCTTGTTGTCCTCCGCTACAAGGAACGTCAGCGGATGCTTCTCCCCCAGTTTACTATCATAAGCATCTCCATTTATGGAGCCCCCAAATGACTTGATATCGGGTACAGAGCGGGAGTGTGTAGGTGTCCTCGAAGATGTCTCATCCGTGAGACTGGGAGACGGTTGTTGGACTGGGGTCCGCATTGCGGGTGGTAATAGTGCATCCAGACCTGTGCTGCTCTGTTGGCTCATCCTTGAGGGATCACTGAGCTGGGGAGGGGTTAAGAGCTTCGTCGTGGGGGCAATTGGCCTAGTACGTGGTTCAGGCTGAGTGATAGGAATTCTAACCTCGAACTCAGAACCACGATCAGGACCCGAGGTCGCAGAACGAACACAGATTAAATCGCCACCCATTTTCCTAGCCAAGCCTTTAGCTACGAGAAGTCCCAATCCCAAACCATCTTTGCTTCGAGTCGTAGATGTATCCTCCCGAGCGAATGGTTTAAAGAGATTTGGCAGAAAAGCCTCTGGGATACCTGATCCAGTATCCCGAACGTTAATCAAAACATCACCAACTTTGCGGCCTAGTGTAGCAGAGACAGTAATCACACCGCTATTTGTGAATTTGACCGCATTCAGGAAAACACATGATATCAACTTCGCGAGGTCGCGATCATCCACGAATAGAGTATCTGGCAACGCAGTGTCGACCGACCAGTCTATCGTTTTAGAAAACACTTCCCCGTTGGACGACCGCGAGCGAAGCTCGATTCTCTCCCCTAATTCGGTTCCATTTGTCACTGCAAAGTCAGGCCGACCACCAACATGAAGCGATTCATTGATAACCAGACGGAGCAAATCACGGAGTTTTGTAACTCGCAGTGCTGGGCTCTTGAGGTTTATATTGATTCCTTCCAGCAGAAGATGTGGCGCTGACCGTCGTACTGCTAATGATGGTCGGGGGTCCACCATGTTGGCCATGACAGCTTCGATCTGATGTGCTGGGGTGGCCTGAATAATTTTGTCGCTTTCAAGTACCGCGTTCTTGACCTCTTCGGTCCGAGGGGATAGTTCTTTCGTTGCTGCAACACGCAGCATCTTTTGCTTCGGCGTCGATCCCACATTGAATTCCGGTGGATTGCTTCGCCGCCGTTTATATGGATTGATTCCAACGTTGGTACCATCAGCAAAGATGCTCGGCCGATTTTCGCACGTCGGGATTGGTGACTGAACGGGGCCGCCGAATAGGTCGTTGTCCCGCTCAACTTGGGGTGTTTTAGGAACTTGCATGTTCATATCATAGGCATGGACAACATTATCAGCAGCTTCAACTGCTCGTCTTGCACTATCTGTATGGGGTTAGCTTTGAGTAGTAGGATAGCGAGCAGCTGTAACATACCTTGAACCATTTCAATGCTTTCTTTGAGAGATTGGAAAACATAACCTGCCCTTGGAGACGGTTTACCTTGAATGGCTTCCCGTACAGTAGCATGCATGACGTCCAGCATCCCGACGATCCCCTGCATCGGCGTCCGCAGCTCATGAGACAGGCTCCGCGCAAACGGCTTCAGGGGTTGAGATGAAAAATCAGGGTGCCCGTATAAAGCATTCAAATACCCATCGTCGACGATTTTATGGCCCTTGGATGGATTTTTGATATCTTTGGAAGGCCGGTCGGTCTTTGTCGTATCCTCTCGGATCCGTTGAACGATCAGATCTTCCAGCGAGTACAGAACCATTTCCAGCAAAGACCACGAGAGATTACGGGTCTGCAACCCTGACTCCGACCACATCAAACCAAAGTGGGCGAGGCACTGGGTTTCCGCGAAGAGCGGGATTGCAAGGTAGCCCTCTGCTGCGAACGGGAGCTGGTCTTGGTCGAATGACGTGACAGATCCTAACTTCTCAGGAATCAAGCAAGGTTTTCCATGGTCCATATGAGACAAAGGGTTGCCTCCAGCAAAGTACCGGTGTCGATGCATTCCCACGTTTTGATGTCCATCATTGTAATAGAAGGCTGTACCAAACAGGCGGGGTTTATGCTCCCCCATATCACCGACGGTCTCATCGTCTCGAACTCTCCGAGCTACGAATCCATATTGAGCGTTGCAGATCGAGGTGATATGTTCCATCAGTCGGCTCCAGAAGGACTCCAAGTCCAGACCTCGGAGTTCTTGCTTTAATTTCATCAGTTGTTCGATCGCCATACTTTGGTGACCACCGATATGTATGCGATGTAATGGGTCGGCCTGCGGGTCATCGTTGAGCAAGGTTGAAGCTGATACATCCCCGGAGAGACATTCAGACTTGCATGGGAGGAACGGTTTCGAACGGCCGGCCGATACGAAAGTTTTTGACCATTCGGATTCGACTGAATCTGACATGGTGTGGGACAGCTTACACGCTTCGTTCAAAGTCGCTGATATTGCGAGTCCCGAATGCGAAGCTTTATTAGGGTATAGGAGGGCGCCAAAATAGCGTTGGGGGTTTCAAATTAGTTGCCCGATCACGAGGAGAATATTTGGGCAAGACAAAACGCATGGCTTTCGGTCTGGGGAAAGAGCGCAGAGAACCTGGTTAGTGATCAACCTTCGTCATGGGCAAAATGGAGGGTTTTTGAGATGTCAAAGGTCGAGTCACTCTTGATGTTAGACAGATTTGTCGGGCACATACAATGATGGGAAGGTGTAACTCCGGTCGAGCTACACCGTATGGTCGGCGCTCTGCACTGGGATAACGCTCTTAAGATCGTGCGACGAAGTATCCAGGCGATATAGATATGTGGGATTTTATGACTGCGAAAAAAAAGGGTAAAAAAGAAAGAGCGACAGCGAAAGCGAAAGCGCGAAATGCTTTGTTGCTCACGAGGTGGGCAAAATAGATCGAAACAAATTGACTAGGGATTATATTCTGCTCCTTTAATCCTTCCTCTTCCGATAACCTTGCAATAGTTGTTGAAGGTTATCTTCTTGGTCGATGGATGGCACTGTTTCCTCTCCCTGAGGGCACTGGCCAATTGCTGGGCCAGAGATGGTCGGCAGAAATCACCCAAAAAATGACCACGCAAGTAGAGAGAGATCCAGTTCTCAAGAATATGGCCGGGGTGAGGGGACCATCCGACGATGGAATGGGATATACTTAGACAGTCCCACCCACAGGCCAGGATGAGGAAGAAGTGGGAGGATGGAGAGAAAAGGGTAAAGTCGGTCAGGTGCAGGAGGAGGGGAATTGAAGGAAACAGAAAATCGTCTCCATTTCGTATGGGACCAATTTTGGACCGATCGGCCGGTCTAGACGCGGGGAGGCTTAAATCCACACAGTGAGTGACAGTGATTCAGTTGGGAGTCTAGAATGTCCCTTTGGCCAGAATGATAAGTCCTATAGTGGGTTTGTATATGCTCTGCTTGTGTCATCATCTTTTTCTTTTTCAAAACGGACCGTTTCTTCATTGAACCGGAGTTTAAACAAAAATAGCGGCTGCATGGCGCATCTTTATTGACATGGGTACTGCGACGTATTTTATGGTGATACGGAAATATATTTATAGAACATCAAGCCCTCACTGAGCGTATGTCGATGTCTACGGAGTTATCGGATTATGCACTTCGAAAGGAAGCAGTACAACAGGGAAATATAATATTGGCATAACCCTAAAATTGACCATCACCCCAAATGCTCCAACATCCATTACCCCATGATGCTTCACATGGACCGAGGTTATGATACTACAGTCTGTGTACGCCCATTACATGACATCTTCGACCGACCGACATGAACGCCATCTCAACTCTCAACCACAAAGTGATTGCAGACTCCGTTAGAACACAATGGCTAGACCCTTCGAAATCTCCGTTCCAGATGCTCAGCTGAATCATCTCCAGCAAAAGTTAACAACGGCAAGTTTGCCGGATGAACTGGACGATGCGGAGTGGGACATGGGTGTGCCTCTGGATGAGATGAGAAGGCTGGTAACTTACTGGCGCGATGGTTTCAACTGGCGACAAAAGGAAAAAGAATTGAATGAGAGCTTGAATCAATTCCTCGTCCCTATAACCGTCACCGGATTCGGAGGCCTGGATATTCATTGCCTGCACCACACCAGCCGAAATCCAAACGCCGTTCCTTTACTATTCATCCATGGCTGTAGGTCTGACCGATGTCACTTTCTAATAAAGCCACTGCGGAGCTGATCGGTGTACTTGTAGGGCCTGGAAGCTTTTTGGAAGCAACGAAGCTTATTCCATTGTTGACCCAAGGTGACGAGACTCACCCTGCGTTCCATTTGGTGGCGCCCTCATTGCCGAACTTTGGCTTCTCATCTGCAGTAAAAAAGGTTTGAAGATATACTCCAATCATAAGTGCATTGGCCGAAGTGCTCTGACACCTTGTAGAAAGGGTTCGGCCTAGTTCAATATGCGGAAGCAATGCACAATGTCATGCTGGCTTTGGGCTACAAAGATTACGGTCTGCCGTATCGTTCCCCCACCAGACCGATTGAACACTAACCTCCCTATAGTTGTACAAGGCGGTGATTGGGGTAGTATCATCGCTCGTGTCATGGCTAACCGCTACTCCGACCACGTCAAGGCCGTTCACCTGAACTTCCTACCGGTGGCCCCGCCTTATCCATGGCGGAATCCCTTAGTCTTTCTTCAATCCCTCCTCACTATTCCCTTTTCATCAGCCGACAAGGCTCACTTGGCAGCTACCTCGGACTATCTGGCACAAGGGAATGCTTACCTGCGTCAGCAGGAGACTCGTCCGCAAACGCTAGGCTACGCCCTTCATGACAGCCCTGTGGCGTTGCTCGCCTGGATTTACGATAAACTGCACTCATGGGCCGATAGCTACCCGTGGACAGACGATGAGATTCTCACTTGGGTGAGCATTTACTGCTTTTCGGTAGCAGGACCCGCGGCGTCAGTCCGGATCTACTACGAAGCGGCACGGAATGATTCTTCGTCTGCTGTACCCGGATTGTCCACCGTTGAGGCGATCTCGAAACCCACTCCCGGTAACGTTAAACTCGCGGTGGCTCAATTTAAGAAAGAGTTAATCCGAGTACCTATGTCGTGGACCGGCCTGGCTGGTTCTGTCGTGAGAGCCAAGCAATTTGACTGCGGTGGCCATTTTGCAGCATGGGAGGTACCGGAGCTCCTGGCCACCGACCTGAGAAATTTCCTGGGAAGGAATGGGCAGGCGTACAGAGCTGTATCTGGAAAGGACGGATACTGACCACCTACTTAGATATCGAATGCAGATTGAACGGAGTCCTAAAAGAGTTAGGTCGTACTCAGTAGAAGATCGAGGCCCCAGGCATAACGCGACAGAACTAGTAGGACGGTGAACCAGTATGCAGAGATGTAGAAGTCTAATTCCCTGTAGTTCCGTCCTCCATATATCCTCGCTGTGCTTTGCCTCGCCTTCATCAATGATATGTAACATTAAGTGGAGACCTTAGACGCCGAAAGCTGTTCTCAACCAGGAAATATTGCAATCGTGGCAATGGAGCGTGATATTAAAGACCTGAATAACATAACAAAAAAGCGCGAACATAACTCTTCTAATCTTGTCTTCCCTTGAGTAGCCGCTTAGTCACCTTATCTTTCTCTATGATGTACACCTGGGCACCCCAACCGGAGAGTGCGTCTCTGTCCACAGCACTGAGGAGAGCCTGGGAAATGGTTTCGAACAAGTCCTCGGGGGCCTAAGCTGTCAGTATCGCCTCTAATCACGACCGGAATCCCACACGCGCAAGACATACCAGATCCGGCTCCCATAAACTCTCACAGGTACCAAACAGCTGGTCACTAGCTGTCCCGCTGACAATGAAATCCTTCGCAAAGTCGATACATCCAATACTATCAAAGCCACAGATAAATGGCTTGCCAGTTGTGCTGTTTATACCCGCAACGACAGGGCTGACGAAGAAAGGTCCAAACCTCCTCTCGTACAGTGACGAACTGACCAGGTTGGCCAAGGTCTGGGGTGCTATGTGCCGTTCCTCACGCAGGCGGTACATGTTAACCTTGTAGCGGAAAAGATCTGAGACGGTCGAGACATCAGTCGCCAGGCCAGTCAGGCCGAGGAAGGTCGATGGGCTGTAGTTGAAGATCTTGGGGAAGTTATTGGAGACGGTCAGGGCCTGCATGCCGAGTCGGAGATCGCAGGCAATTGCAACACAGTCCTTGCCTACCATGGCGACGCAGGCGCCACCGTCTGCGGAGAGACAGATTAATATGTTAAGCTCGAGTCAGATGGGAGACGGGGACGATGACATACTGATATCGAAGGGCGAACTCTAGAGGGATTGTCAGCTTGCTCGATCAGGGAAAGAAGAATGGTACAGAAGACATACCATGATTAATTTGCTAGAGTAGATAAAAACAAAATCCAAGCTAGAAGAGCGAGAGGATTCGAGAAGTGAGAAGCAAGAAGATGTGGAGGACTGAGGGTTGAGGGGGGAAGCGTGAGGTGGTGAAGGAGAGGGACTGATGAATGGTTGAGTTGAAGCTCACTGCTGCCAGCACGCGTGGAGCCGCCGAGCTTTCTGCCGATGACGATGCGCCCGCTGCCTAAGTACTGATCTTCCCGCATTTACTACTACACCTCGTCCGTTACCCTAATCTCCGAATATCAACTCCTTCTGTGTCCTTCTATGCTTTTCTCTCGCCTTGGTCTACTTGCTGTTTGATACTATATCCAAAGTATAAGACAGGCGAGAAAACTTGAAGGCGACGACGCTCATTTTCCATCAACTTTAACACCACCCCCGCAATATTAAAATAAACATTCCAACTATGAGCGCTCATGTCGTGGTCCTCGACTCGACAGCTCGAAGGGCTACAATCAAGACAACGCCAGGAAAGTATTTGACTGACGTTTTACAAGAGGCTTGTGTAAAACTAGGCGTAGATGCTAGCCAATATGGACTGAAGTAAGCTTCTACTCCCATAAACCAAGTATCAAGCTTTCAGTTAAGGGACTAACTCCGTTCCAAGATACAAAGGTAAACAGGTCGACCTGTCGCTAGCTTTTCGCCTTTCCGGGCTTATCTCTGGCGCAAAGCTGGAGCTGGTCCAACTCTCACGGTCGCCATCCGTTGTCACTGTCGCACTTCAGCTACCAGAATCAGAAGCCCGTGGGGCGCCCAACGGCCGTCTTATGGACAAATTCCCAAGTACAACATCGCTATGGTTTATATTGCGTAAATTTGAAGCTGGAGTTGCTGGGAATGCATCGATTCGGAATCTCACAGCGCGAGGGGCTCCCGTTACTGGAAACGGAGAGAATGGATCAGGACGGTTGTTCTACGAGACGCCGGTGATCCAAATTTTGGAACGGGAGATGTCCACATTCACTGACTTGCAGAAGTCCCTAGCCCAACTAGGGTTCAACAGCGGAAACGTGTTACTGAGACTGAGCTTTCGGCGGACAGAGGACCCGTTAGAAGTCGCTATGAGCAAGATCCAAGAATACTTCAAGACATCCGACGACGACACGGTTCCCCAGTCACAGGAGCCGTCTACCCCAGCAGAACAAAAGCAGACAGTAGATGGACCCAGCCAACAAGAACGAGAGCCGCTAGAGTCTACACCAGATGCATCACCGCCTGCACCCGTTTTGCCTGAGGAACCTCAGAACCAAACCCCTCCATCCGTCCTATCTGCCCCTGCGGAACCTTCCGAACCTGCAACGACTGCTGCCTCTCGACAAGTAGCAGTCTTTGCCCCTCCATCTAGCGATACACCGCAGTCCGCAAAGACCGCCTATAATGAAAGTGACTACGTTCCCTCCGTAGATCATGCGCAGGCACACCAACGTCGGCTCAACGCGGCATCCCAGAATAAACGTCTTCTATCTGATGCAGAGATCGCCGCTAAAGCCGCAGCAGAGGAGGAAAAGCTTGCAGCTGTCAAGGAGGTGGACGTCAAAATCCGACTGCCGGACCAAAGTCAGATTGTGGCGAAATTTGGGCAACAAGATACGGGCAGATCACTCTACAGTTTTGTAAGGAACTGCTTGGCCGGTCCTTTCGCTGGAGAGAAATTCATCATCACAACTTTCCCCAGTGGTGGCCAGAGTGGAAAGAAATTACATAACGTGGTCCCGGACTCCGATCAGACTTTACTGATCAAGGACCTCGGTATGGTAGGCCGAGTGCTTGTCAATTTCTCTTGGGACGCAGCCGCTTCCCAAGCTGCTCGGCAAAGCCGAAGAGACCTCCTGAAACCAGAGTTACGGACACAAGCGAAGGAACTGAAGGTTGAAGAACCAGCAAATGTAATGGACACCTCTGAGGATACGGTTCAGCCGAAGTCGGGATCTGATCGCCAAGGAGAGAAGTCAAGCGGGCGCAAACCCGGAAGCCTGCCCAAGTGGTTGAAACTGCCCGGGAAGAAATAGATAAGAGATATGCTGGTACCTTCAGTGTTACCTTTTATGATACGTCTTCTAACTTACGATTATGAGTAATGTGATAATGGTCCTGATATCCTGTAGTTTTAAGGTAGATTCAATGCATAGACAGCGTCACCGTTGAGCTCTGGAGCTCTGGAAAGAAGTATATGTCATGTTCGGCTACTTGAATAGCAGTCTACAGGATGACCAAGTCGGATGCTACCAACGACATCCCGAATGGTAGTCGATTGGTGACTGTTAGGCCAGAGATCGACCTACACAGGCCAGTCTAGAGAATATTCCGAAGATTGAAGGTGAAAGAAACCAAGTCCCAGTGGTATTGCATTAGAATCAGAGATCCATTTATGTTTTTTTGTCCAATTGTCCACGCCTATGGAATCATATCCCTTGCCTCCATTCCTATATCCCAGGAGAGATAGAAGCAAAGAAGGTAGGTCGGGTTGTCATTTTTCCCTCCCCATATGGACAGAACCTCCCCCACACTCCATGTGATCGGCCACCAAGACTCACTTCATCGTTTCGTTATCTCATTCTTTTCTTTGGCTAATAGGAGAAAGCTTTATCGGATTGAATGGGAACGAATTTAGTGACCAGTAACACGACGAGACTCGGCGATGACGCGCTGCATGTCCTCAACCTTTCTCTTGCCACGGCCGAAGGTACCGAGCTGTAGTCGAGTGTTAGCCTTTCTGCTTTGGACTGATGATCTCAAGATTGCTCCGGCTTCCTTCCGCTCTGGCCCAGTGTAATTTCGATAGTAAACCATAATCGACCCCAAGATCAACCGATGATAACTTCCGAGACTACCCGGCCAAAGCCAGAGCGGCCCGAGCAAGGTCTGCCGAATTGATAGCATGTTGACGGAATCGAACGTACCCTCTTCTTGGCGAGCTTACGAGCACGCTTGTCCTGAGTGTTTCTCAGGAGTTCGATGATACGACGCTCATAGGGGGCAAGACCGACAACCTCACGAGCGATGTCACGAACGAAGGCAGTGCGGCGGGAGGACTGGCCCTTGGTGCGGCTGACACGGGTCTTGGGGGTGTTGAGGGGGGTGGTTTTCTATAACGCAGAATATCCGTTAGTCTTAATTTTCTTGTCTTCCTCCACATGTATCTGGAACATCAAGTCGGTTTTTCTCAGATGTCGAGTGGTTGCTGAATGCTGTATTCTCCCGAATCACGTAGAATCTCCCCATGTCGCTTTATCTTCCCGATTTTCCTCTCTTTTTTTTTTTCCTCTCGCACTTCCGTCTTGTATTGTCGAACTTTTTTTCCCTCCCCGTTCCCCAGCATTCTCCAGCCATTCAACATCCACTCGACAACTGAGATCCGTTCAAAATAAAATATAGCACGGATAGGGGAACCCACATGGCCCTTGTTCAGACCGACCACAATTCCGGAGCGTTCCTGGGCCATCTCGACGGTTGGACTGGTTTGGCGACGTGGTTGGTGAGGGAGTGTCGAAGTCGATGGGCGTCTCGGTGCGGATAGAAGCGCGATGGACTTTGCACGGTTTTGGTTGGCTCAGATGGCAGTGCGTAGCGAGTGTTAGGGCTTTGCTTAGGGCTTGTTTCCCGTCTGGGTTAGCGCCCTCAGGGCTCTTTTGCCTGGACTGCATGACCGGATGTTGGTGCCTGAGGTGTTTATCATCATCCTTATCAGTGCTCCGATAAGGGTTACTACATTCAATCCTCTCCTGGAAGTATAGGTACTTGATCATCATGAATAAATCTTTACATAACTATTGTTTCTGTTCGGTCTGCTCTGGCCCTGATTCCACATCCACCTCAACGGTCTTCAATATTCCCTGATTGGGGTTTTCTCCAGCCTTGGAATGGTCCTCTCGGCCCTTTTCTCCCGGGCTGGCTTCGACCGTGGTATAGCAAGTGGTTTCATATGTCTTCCCGCTGCGGTTGCCACGGCTTAGCATCTCCAAGTTACTCCCCGGAAGTAAATCTGTAAGGCTAACATTCGGTTGGGGTTGAGCTGGAAACCGCCGTGCCTCTACCGTTTTCTTTGAAGCCATAATACTAGAGCCGGAACCAGTCGTGACAGGCTCCGAGAAGAAGTATTTTGTTTTCTTCAAGAAATGTCGCAAGAAAGTAGGTAATGCCGGCAAACAGCTTGCTATGATCCCTGAAGTTATTTCGGCGGCACTATTATCGATATCAGTAGGGAGTGCGGGATGTAGCCCTAATCTACACTTACGTCCACAAGAGTTCTGGAAACCAGACAAATGTGTTGTCGGTGGCCGTGCTATTTGGGATGCTGACTACAAGGCGCATGACGCTTGATATGCAGCCGCTGTTTACTCAGGAGTACCCGCTCTGTCAGTCATCTGGGCGAGTTCAGTGATGGGAAGGGTGGCTCACAAGATACCCGCAACGAAGACAGCAGATGTACATATTTTCTTCTTGAAGGTCATTTGCAGACGCCATACACAGACAATCGGCAGTAAGAGAATTAGGAAATCGGACACTACGTTGAAGATCGACGCAGCCAGGATGGGAACGTTGATATTGATGCAGTGCCCTGGGATATGCTCATCCCAGATCTTGGATCGTGGTGTACATTCAAAGATCTTGAGGATCGTGTCGGCCAGGTAGAAGAGGAAGTTAAGCCAGATGAGCAATTGAATCAAGAAGTAAGTGACGCTTCTGACAGACAGTGCGAATACGCGGAGAAATAAAAGGAGTATGGATAATTTGGTGATGAAGATGATCGGCCCATATATGATTTGGCATGCATTTGCTAGCTAATGATGATCAATACGCTGGGTCCTTCCTGTTATGAGGTAACTGACCTTCAAGAATTCACGGAGGTCTGAAGGAGATACTTCCCACCGATGGAGACCACTGCCATGCTTGCCTGTCTCAAAAGTCATGACAGCATAGACTATTAATCCTAACTATGGCTCTCATGAGCAGGTGATTCTCCGAGAGCAAGAGTCAATAGACAGCGTATTGAGGCACATACCCATGCAAAGAAACAAGTAACTACAGATGACAGTTAGTGAATGCTGATCTATTTGAGCTTGTCTTGGTATACGTACAGTCTTCCCACCCCGGAGCTTTGGTGATCAACAGCTTTGTGTACATGCGCATACAGACACAACAGGTACTAACTGAGAGGCATAATACCTCGGTAATGACATCCCATCGTTGCGGCGAATGTTTGTGATCGTATGTAGGATTCATGTCTGAACCTGGGATATCATGAACAATAAAGCGAATTAATTATGACAGCAAGATACGGGCCTAAATCAGACATTGGAGACCCGTTACCTGCACCCCAAGGACAAAAGAGAGGACGGGGAAGGAAAGGGAAACAACGAGAAGCCGGACATGGACAGGGAGTCAGTTACAGATGTTGACCAAATACTTACGCCGAGGTCTAGCAGGGTGTGGAGATGTAGATAATTGGACATCAGCACAGTAAGAATAGAAACAGCCGTGATAGCGTGGGGGACATTATCTGCCCTGGAAGTAAGGAGACTACCGCCGCTGACTTGCAGCAACCCATGACTCAAGGAAACATCCGCTTCAATGGAATAATGTAGTAAGATTTCACCGTTGGCAAGGGGCTTTGCTTATTCGTCTTGGTAAGCCGACAAACGGCAGGAGAGGAATGCTCCTATTGGGAGCAGTAGTGGAGGGGTATGTGTGAATGTCATGGTAGTAGTGGGACAAGCACCAGGCTGACGGGGGGAAGGCATGGTGAGGAACCAAGGGATAAAGAACGTAGTGCTACCTTGTCGGTACCCTTGCAGAAGGAGATCAACATTCCACGCCTCAGCCTCGTGCCTGGAAAAGAAGCCCCTCGTATTCATTCCATTTATTCTACAGGCTATGTGCCTAGCCTTGTAGCGGCAGTAATTGCATCTTGTATGTCTCTAGATTTCTCACCCCGTAATGACGTTTTGATTAGATATACAACCCATCCATATAGGATTTTCTATAAGTATGTAAGTATGTCAGTATAATATAGTTGATATTGCACCGTACACCCTCCTTGGGTAGCGTAGATGTCGTACACAGTCAATGATCTAATTCAATCGTATCCTGGCCCATTGTCACAGCGACGCGCGCAGCAGCCCATCGAGCCCTTCTTCCCAGCTTTCCATTAACTCACCGCAGAACATCTCCAGCGCAGCCATATCAAATGTCTTATCCAATTCTGTCCGAAGTTGCGTACCGTCCTCACCATCGCCAGAGCCACCCACCACCAAGTCAATCAAAGATCCGAGAACGCCCGGCTCAGAGATAGCTGATTTTAGCGCACGAGCGTTTGCCCGAATACTTTCATAGACTTGGCGGGCGGAATCGGCTAGTCTTTGTATACGATCCTTGGGGAGTTTCACAGTCTTGGAGGTTTTCTTTGATGCAATGGATGTTATAAGCGAGAGCGCCTTAAGCGACTCGATGATCAGGTATGAGTTGTGGAAGAACCTCCAGGTTGGGATAGATGATTGATGCCGCCGCAAGGAAACTGCAGTTTCGGATACAAGCGCGGAGACCTTTGGACCGTTCAAGTCAAGATCTTCTGACTTGGAACTCAGCCATTCTTCCACCTGAGTTAAGCAGCGGTCGACCTCTTCAGAGGCGACAGACTTTGAGCCATTCAAGAATGAGACCACCTTGAGAAGATTCAGATTGACCTTGACGCTTTCAATCTCTGATGAGGTCATCTCAGAAGATGCTTCCGACCCTACGATATCTTCGAGACTGGGCAAATTAGGTTCAATAGACACTGGCTTCTGAACAGCCATATTTTTGAGGGTACTAAACAATTGGTCTGTTACCCTCGCAGACGTCACCCATCGGTCCTGTTCCTTATTAGCCTTGCCCTCAGGTCTCAACACTGATTAGGGACAAACGTACCCGAGGAAGTGGCCCCAAGCGCATCCGTTCCTCGAAAGTTGGCTGGTTGGTGGGTTCGCAGTTCATGAATGCATCAAATACACGCTGGTCTGCCAAGGGAGATGGGTCCCTTGCTGTAGAGTGATTGTGAGCGGATAGTCCATTGTATGCAGTATTGTTGCACCTACCAATTTCGTCATATCGACCCATCGGATCTCCGCCGGCCAGTCTTTGCATCCGTCTAACGTCTAATGCCCACATCCTGCGACAGACACTATACTTTAAACGCCTCTGAAGCTCTATGGTGCCTTCTATGTTTACGTAACTGCCCAAGTCCAATCCATTCGACCGCTGCCTGACTGTCGTGACCTCAGCCGTTCGATAGAAATTCAGGGCCTGAACAAATGCGGACTGGGGGTCGAAGTCTTTGTATTCTGCACCCTCAATTGGGGGCGCCGAGTGTGGGTGGATCGTTGCTAGGCGGGTGAAGAGGTTGTGAGCAACCGTTTCGAACTGCATTTGTTTGACAGAGAGCTTGCTGAAGGCCTTGAGAGCGAGCGATCCAACCCCGAGGCGCAAGTAGATACGCACAAGGAGTAACAACGCTTGGTAGTTATGAGGAGAATCAGACAAGAGACGCTCCAGGATAGCAGCGGCGCGGATGAGGACGGTGTCTGGGATTTTATCCTGGTTACCAGAGATCCATGTTCCACTGAAGCGGATCAAGCTCATAGCAGCTAGCAAACACAGATCATCACTAGGCTGACTTTCAATTGTGGACGGGGCTGAGCTCCGTTCTGGACGATCTGCCTCACGATAGACCTGGAGACAGCGCGAGATGAAGTCCTCAACTTGTGTTTTAGAGACGTTAGTCTCGTTAGCTGACAATACGAAGCAGTATTCAAGTTTAAGAGCATTGATCGTCGTCACACCCTTGAAAGGATCGTTCTTCACCTTCACGAGTGTGTCAGCTTGAAAACGAAAGGCACGGGCCTTGTCTCGAACGTACATTCTCCTCTTGACCTTTGGAGGCATACTCCACAAATTTTGACACACCTTCCTTGTCCAGTGCTGCCAAATAAAGCTGCAGGTCGCTAAAGCAGTAAAGCTTGTTCTTGTTACTATCAAAATATTCTTGGCAAGTAGCGACTAGATCCTCCGTCTTCGAAGTGCCAGCGAGAACACCTGAATGAATCAAGTCTAGGCGAGCTAGCTGTGCATTGCGAGATTTGGGCACGGCATCAAGGAAATCGCCGATGAACTTTAGGGTCCCGGTAGTGGTTCTGCGAAGATAGTCAGTAAGTACATTTCAAGTGCTGCCTCTTCTTCATTCTTCTTCTAGTGGTGGCGTAACTTACTCTTGGGCATTGATGTTGCGGGTTGAAATGACAAGTAGTTTCCAAACTGCCCAGTCGTCACGCTCTTGGAGAGCCTTTCTCTCAGCTTCGTTACTAGGGATTGCAAGTAGCTCTTTCGCGTAGGATAAGCCCTGCGTCCACATCTCCGCCTTTTCCAAACTGGAGAGCTTCACCCCAACGAAGGACCAGTCATTCTGGATGACTCGCGAGCTTAGTCCCAGATTCTCGCTATCAAGAATTTTTACAATCTCATCATGACGTCCCTGGGACTCGAAGATTTTAATAAGTAGCAATAGCTCCTCTGGGCCTTGTATGGCTCTAGGGGGGCTCAGCAACTCTTTCTGTGGTAGATGTTAGTGTCACAGTTGCAAAGGCCATGACCAAGATCACATAGGACATACTGGATCGGAAGGAACACTGTCAGCAGCTTTGGAAACCATGCGATAAGCCAGAGTTCCAAAAAGTTTACGGTCAGTTTCCGAACTGGCTTGATCAGTAGCAACGAGATGACTGAGGAAAATTGCCCAGAGGTAGTATTTCCGCGTTTTGGGAAAATTGTTCTGGAGAGTCATAGCAGCCTGTCATCCAAACTCGAGGAATTAGATTCGATTTATGTGACACCCAGGCTCAACAGGCCACAGACCTTTTGCGCTGACTTCCAGTCGTCACCTTCAAATGCATACGTAAACCATCTCATTTGTAGTTCTAAATCTTGTGGTTTCGCCTTTGCAGCTCTCTCCCATAGAGTCCTCATAGTTTCAGCCTGGTCGCCCATCCGTTTCAGAGTCTGATAGAGAATGTCGAGAGTATCGAGATCGGTAGCTGGTGGCTCGGCCTTGCACAAATCGAGGGTCTCCGCTATACCACGTTGACGGTGGGTTTCGTCCGCATGGCGATATAAGATATGAGCTTTCCATGCCTACACAGAGCGTACACCATCAAATTAGCAACATGCTATAATATGGGCGTTATGTGTGACTGTAACCTCAGGAACATGCGCAGCACCAGGGGTATTTAGACGAAAAGGTCCAGAATATATCATTATAAATGATCTCATATGGTGCTAACCTTCAAAAATTTTGTATCTTCTCCTTTCTTCATGCGCTTGTCAATCAACTGCAGGGCCTGTTTTAAATTTTGCCCGTCAATGGCATCTTGAATCTGTTTGTTTCGCCGGTAGAACACGGCGTCATTGGTGGACATGGCGAGAGAAGATCAGATCTGACTCTAGATCAATCCTGGCAGCGGTTGGACGTGGATTCCTATTTTGTAATAATAAATCGGCGTTCGTATGCTGCGCAACCAAGCACAGCACACGATGTGCGGGGAAGATAGGACGGCGGGATAATGAGGGGAAGGAATTCTTAGGAGTTGAAAATAGTTTGGCCCCTCGGCGTCTCACAGTGGTGGGCGTGAACTGGAAGGCGGTGATCGATAAAGAATATAGGGTGCGCATTCTCCACAATTTCAAGCGCTGCCTTTATCATATCGACTTATCAAACAAAAAAAAAAAAAGTGTATGAAGAATCAATAATGAAAAATAAATTAATGATTAAATGAGGTTAGTGCCGTGGACAACAACCTGAGTTTGCCCTCAACATACATCAAGGGTTGAGAAGGCTATATACACCAATTTTAACATGATAACATAACGTTCTCACATGTGGTAAAAATCTTACAAGAAGTGATTGCTTAAGTATTTCTATGGTACATATATAGAGCGAAAAGACCAGTCATCTCAAAATCGGTAGCTTAGAACATAATTATAGTGTACAGACTTAAGGACAACTATCCAGAACCTTGTCGAGACAATCAGAACTATCATCCCCCCTCTGCCGAAAAGCAAGGGGAAAAAAAAGAAGAGACGAACATCCACGATAAGGACAAAAGCTGTATCAATTGGAGAAGAAGCTTATGTGCCAATCAATGGTATGTTTCAGCTCGAGATGCTCGATCGCCCAGTTTCTTACCAGTATCTTTCAATAGGACAGCCCGGCTCCGAGATGTGTAGTGCAATGCTGATGAAGACCAGAAGGAAATCCTTTCAGGCACCGGGGATATTGATCGCCTGGCACTCTAGCTCTGGTGAGACTATCCAGAAAGCTTTTTCTGTGTCAACTGTGATATCATTAGCAAAGTAGGCCTAAAATAGAGTTCTACTGAGATGGGCAGGATTAGGCCATTGAGCCATCGAGGGTAGGAAATAGATTGGGAATATCAACGCAAATTAGCTTGAGAGATATATAGATACATACCCACTGCTTTTTGCAGTCACGGTAAGCCCTACCACGCATTTGAGTCAGCTACAGGTTCTGGTAAGAACGTGGCAGGAAACATGTGAATGCATCAGACTACTAGCTCGCGGATAGGAGGCCCATCTCTAGGTCTACAGCACCGTACTATATCGACATAGAAGGGCTAGATACTCACTGAAAGTAATCGTGACACATTTCCCTGTCGAAATTGTTCCGCTTCATACATTTCAAACTCCGATCAGCGAAATCTTGGCATGGATCATAGTACTCGCTTGCACTCTTGCTGGAATATGGAGTATGTCATCAGTAAATTTATGGGAAATAGGGTAAAATAGGAGAAGAAAAAAAGAAGAGTCCAAATGAGTCAAAAAGAAAAGGTTGAGCTAAGAATCAAGCCTCAGGTTTCATGACATGTGCACCCTGATTCAAGAGACTACGAGTGACTTGACTTTAAGAATTTTTGAAACAGGATCCCTCTTAGAAAAGATGAAGAAGAAAAAGATGATGATGATGCAAAGATTTTGACATAAGGAACATCCGTGAGATGTACTTCTGGCGTTGATAATGTAGAAGATAGCTGGACGACCTACTTCGTGAATCTCTGTTCCGTGTTTGACCAAGAATTAGGATGGTCTTGTCCCGATGAATCGGATTGTCGGTCTGATGTGGACGCCATGATTGCGGGGCTAAAAGGGGTCAATTGTATGTGATTGATGCAGGCGACAGCGTTGGCCAGTATGGATGATAAAGTGGTGCGGTTCTTACTAGGAGTACTACTCCCGAGTCAATGTAGGTTTGTTCCTGGAGAAGTTTGGCCCCACAATTGAAGGTCTTGGCACAGACATCTCTTTAGTCATGCTGTTCCATCGTAACTAACGAGTCCCTAATTCCAAGTTATACTTCTTTTACTCGTACAAAGATACCGAGAATATTAAGAATTATGAAACTGGAATAACCATATTGATTATAATTGATTCTCTCACTGGTGATATAGTACTTACCATGAACAATATTGAGCGACTCTTGTACCCTGAAAGGGTTAATCTCTTATTCGCTTGCCACCGGTTGAGCTGTCGATTGAAGAACTTTGTACGGAGTACTAATCAAGACTCAGACACTAGTACTAGCTAACTAACCTAGCGGAGTAGGCTACAAGTGGTCGGGTGGAGGTGGAGGCTAAGGATGGATAAAATGGGATGACATTATCACGGCTGAAGCGCCGGGCTTGCATGATATCACACCATTACGCGCATCTAACATTCTTAGCGCTAATATGATCTCTCGTTGTTGGTGACAAGCAATCTCCCGCAAGACTGGAGAGCGGAGGAAGTGCAGTAGCCTGGAAATAAAAACAAAAGGAATAAAGAAAATGATATTGAAAAGGTAATCACGGTTGATCTTGTCGCGATGGGTTTGTACCAGCGGTTATTGTGGGGGATGAGGAAAGGCCCATCATGTTCCCATCGACAACGGAGTACAATGGGCCTAAATAGCCTATTTGTTTCCTTTAGTATTTTTCTTTCTTTTTTCTTTTGTTTCTTCCGCCCCTCCCTCCTATTTTTTCATTCAAGGTGCCGTAGGTATGCTAATATTATACAATACATTCGAACTGTAGTCTACGGAGTTTCATCCTCGGAGTAGCGAGAAGCTGGCGGGACAAAAGAGAGAACGGATTAATTATTCGATTGTCTTCGACACTCCATTGCGCTCTAACGACAGTATGAGGGGGAATGGTGACAACAATCTTATGTTGCAATCTTCTGGTGATTGTATAAGCGCGTACCACGTAGCTAGAGACAACGGGATGGAGGATGTTGGAGAGTTTGTTGGCTGAGAGAAGGGAAGTGAAGGAAGATATGATTGATCGGCTTTCATTCACTAGTGAGGGACTAAACTTTAGTCCATTCCGGTGGAGAATTCGATCGGACTTTAAACCCAGCGTCTCGATTGTTTGTTCGGTTTGCGCAAAAGCTTCCGAAAAGAAAAGGCAAAAAAAAAGGCAAGGCATGCACTCCTGCAGTCCAATCCTGATGGCTTCTTGTTTTCCTTCTTCGTTTCGCTTTACTTTCAACCCCAGCTTACCGGGAATAAACAATTAAACGACATCAGAAGCGCCGTTCATACATCCGTCTCTTATCGCCTACCTCATCCTATCACTCACAGCTCTAAAGTAAACTCGAACTCCGCCCCCCTCCCCGTCATGCCGGCTACACCCTTCCTTATTTAAAAAACGAGCCCATATATCTAGCCACCACCTGTCGTGACACGTCTCTTTCTCCCAATACACCGACAAGTTTTTCCTCACAAAACTCGCGGAACGACTTCAAGAAAACTTTTTGGCTCCCCCTTCTTATCGGGATCCGTTCCGACAGTCTTGCGCAAATGTCCGAGTCAACTCTCGTCGGAACCAGGTCCGGACAGGGTTCCAACAACACAAACGCGACGCTTGGAGGTGATGTCCCAGGGGTGAGCCGTAATAGTATATGTTCTGAAGGAAAGGGCACTAATTTGCTTCTTATTCAGCTCTCCGAAACATTACAGGGACATGTCGACGATATCCGCGCGCTCTTACAATGTGGCATTTGCATAAGGCCACTGTACGAACCCTTCACCCTTGCCTGTGGACACTCATTTTGCTATAGTGTTTGTGGCCCTAATCTGTATGATCGTCTTCTTAGAGTGCTAACCCTCCGAGCTTTAGTGTTTAACGTCATGGTTTGCTGGCGGGAGATCCAATAAAACATGCCCCGACTGCCGAGCTCCGGTTAAAACACCACCTGCCCCTGCATACTTGGTAGGTACCTTGAAAGCCCATAAAACGCTCATTTAATCATCTGGTACCTAACGCGTATAGATCCGTGCTGTTGTCCAACTATTCACGAGTCGTGCAGAGCTTTTAGAAAAGGGAGAGACGACGGCCGAGCATACGCGCCATCAACGTGAGGAAGCTGAAAAGTTGGAAAACGATAAGAAGAACACACATCCCAAAGTGGGCGGGTTATTCCGCGGCGCATTCAACAAAAAACTCCCCGTCGCGCAGCCCATCGTTGACCTGGAGGATAATGTCATTCGCTGCCCGCGCTGTTCATGGGAATTGGAAGACTCAAATTGCGCACAGTGTGGATACCGACGAGATGAATGGGCTATTACAGATACATCAGACGTATCAGATGCATCAGATGCATCAGATTCAACCGATTCACGTTCAACCGTTTCAATTTTAACCGATTCAGAGGAGAATTCTGAGATGACGGACTACTTGGATGACGAACTCGAAGATGGATTCGGCGAATTAGACGATTTCAATTGGAACGGTTTCCAGAATGGGGTTCATATTCAGGGAAGAATTGAAGTTATTCCCCGTCATTTATACAACATAATTCACAATTATCATCAGCACCATCCCCCACACCGCCATGTCTTTGCGCACAATGGCCACATCGATGACACGTCTTCAACTGCTCATGACACCGAAGAGACTGACGACTACTCGGAAGACACAGACATGGACTCGTTTATTGATGACGATGAACATATCGACCAGGATCACGATTCGGAATCGGACAGATCTACGGTAGTTGGAGGTCCCGAAACGCGATACTTGCCAGATCAATATCAAGTCCAGTTGAGCTCAGAGATGACCATGCCTCTGGCCGACGACTGTACCGATGATGATCTGAGTAGCTTAGACGAGATCCCAGATAGCGAAGAGGATGACGAGGATGACGAGGATGAAGATGATGAAGATGATGAAGATGATGAGCCTATCCGCCCTCCCGTAAGCGGAAATCGGCGCCGCGTATTCCCAGCCTCTAATGGGGCTTCAAATTCGCCTGTCCTCTCGAGTCGAGCTCCGCGAGCTCCGAACGTGGATCCCTACGCGATGCGCCGGCAGGCATCACGTAGTCAAACTACAAACACGGCAGGAACTTCCGCCTCGAATGCAATAACTCTAGACGATGATTCTGACGAAGGCCCAGTTCGACCGTTCCGAAGGAATTGTCGGCATGGCGCTCGTTAACACTCGTTACCCTTACATTAGATACGATTTGACCATAATCCCGGATGATCTTCAAGGTGGATCTTATAGGACTCGTTATCTATAGCTTCTTTTAAGGGCAGATAGAGACAGGTCGGACAAAGGAACAGGCTGCATGGATTAGTGCGGCTACATAAGGGCGTGTGTTTCAGAGTTCGACATCCATGTATTGGACTTTACTATCTCAAGGATAACTCTGATCCGGATGTTCGATCACGCCCGACTAAGCCTACCTGTTATAATTACACCTTAAGGGGTTGAAACATTTAGTCCCAAAAGGTACATGAGACTGGTACTGGCAAGGAGAAGGCTCTTCGCTCATCAACCACTATTTGACTACAAAGAAGAAAAACTAAGACCCAACCCATTCTATACCCCAGCTACTTTCTGCGTGATTCCTTTCTGGCTACCTTGTGCATTGGTTAATCAGTTCTTCTTTTCGTTATTTCCTTTTTTAATAATCCTAGCGGGCTTCCTTTCCATGCTAATTTTAGCATGTATGTATCAACATCACTAGTAGTTCGGGCTTCAGGAATTGCTGCGTGATGGGACGAAATGTGATGAGAATTTCCATCAAAACAACTTGAAGTATGCTTCTCAGGGTCTATATTAGTAGGTTTACGCCAACTGTAGCTGATAATCTCGCCGAAACTATTATACTAGTCGTCTTTGAAGATCAGTGTTTCTGGGTCTTAGTGCTGGCTTTCCGGAGTATTTCTTCTCTTAGGGCACGCTCTTAACGCAAGAAGCGTCAAGAGTTTAATTTCACCTGACAGAGGTTGACTATCGGTGATATATTGGATCCTTTAATGGTGGGTAACTTTAGAAGCATAACCCATTCAAAATCATTGCAGTACGCCTATATACAAGGCCCAACGCCCTTCAGCCCAAGGAACAGCTTCCAATGCAGAGAACTTTTTTCTTCCTCTAAAAGATATGTAAAGACCACCGCCCCGGGAATAAAATACAAGGTAGAGAAAGATGTGGATACACACGCCATGTCACAATAACCTCATCCCATTTCATGAATACACCTCACTTCGATTGAGGGTTACCGTTTATGAAAGGGACTTCGAATACCACAGCGCCATTACGGCCATCGGGTGCAGATCCCTCGTGGTAATTGTTCGCGAAGCCTTTCCAGCGGCCAAAGCGATGTTCCTTGCCCACTGCTGCGACAATGCAGAGACCTCGGGGCTCTGGTTCGGCGGGCTTCGATTTAGGCTTGGACTGGCCGGGCTTGTTGGTCTCTGCACGACGCTCGAAAACTGCAATACCGTTGATGACGCCCTTGACGAGTGGCTCGGCCTCTTCTTTAATCTCATCCATTTTTTGCTTTGACCCGTTGATGGCCATCTGGTCTGCGTCGACTGGGCTGTCGAAGGCTAGGGACTGTTTCAGTTGCTGAGATGGGGTATCAGGTTCTAATGAGGCTCCGCCAATGGGCCCCAGTGGGATGATCGTTCTCTTGTCTTCCGAAATTTTCCATGCGCGAATCCATCCATCCCAGCTGCCGCTAAGCACGATGTCGGTGCCTGGGAGCGTAGCCAGCGCGGTGATCCAGCGAGGATTGCGCCGCATGTGACGGGCATTCGACGCGGCTATCTTCGGATCGACTTCTGAAGACAGCTCATCGAGCGGAGGTAGAGGGTCCAGACCGTGGGCGAGAGTTATTGTGTGAAGTGGTTTCTTTTTATGGACGGACCAAAGGGAGATCGCGCCAGAGTCCGAACCGGTAACGAAGTGATTCGGAGGCAAAGGTGCCACACAGTCAAGGTTGTTTTCTTGGTAGGAGTGCTTGGAAGATCCTCCACGGAAGATTAGCTGAGACTCATCTACGACCTTCCACAATCTGGCGGTGCGATCGCGGGCTCCGACACTGACACACTGATCGATTGTCATCGCAGCGAGAGAAGAGATGTGATCCTGATGGCCAAACAATGTCTCAACGTATGCATGGCCTGCAGTGCTTAAGGACCATGTTTTGATAGTCCGATCAAAAGAACCAGAAAATAGTTGTTCTCCGGAGCTCATGGTAGAGATATGACGAGCAAAGGCAAGCCCACTGATCGAGTCGCGGTGCTGTGTAAAGGTCTTCAATGGGGTCAATGTCTCTGCATCCCAGATTATCAATTTCCGATCCTCTCCACCAGTAGCAACAAACTTTCCAGATGGCGATACAGCCACGGACAAGATATTCTTAGTGTGACCATGCTCCTCATCACTTTCAGCAATCTTTTGCAGGCCCCGCGTAAACCTCACCTGCTTAGGCTTCTTCCGTTGTGGTCTTGGCGGGCGTTTCGATGAGCTGTTTTGTTCACCTGCTGAAGAATCTGTGGTTGCGTGACTGGGGGTGGCAAGCTCCCATTTGATTAACGTTTTATCTTTCGACACCGTATAAACATATGGTGCATGGACGGCAATGGACGTTGTCGACTGGGTATCTGCCCGGAAGAATGAATGCGAGGCTGCGGAGAAAGACAGATCTGAAGCTATCTGACGATATGTGCGCCCTTTGAACTCGTCCTGCGCTAGGAATCAGCTGTTGGCTGATCTCACGGGTAGCGAAAACTGAGGGCACATACCACATCCTCCTTTAATCTCTCAGCAATTAAATCTCGATCAATCTCTGCTGCGTCGAAACCATATTCATCTACTTCATCCCGAACATTATCCAAATATCTCTCAGCAAGCTTTAATCTCCGGTCTGCGGCCGTCTCTCCTTCGTCGGAGTCCGAATCACTCTCTTCTCCTGAAACTCCAGATACAATGCTCTCGGCATCATCCTCATCCAAGTCACTACCTGAAATTGATTGCTCCCGTCCCTTAGTCCTTCTACTGCCCTTGGCGCCTGAATCTCCATCTGCATCAACACCTCGTTTCTTCGACGCGGGGGCTCCGGCGCGGTCTTCCCTCTTGCGCTTCCGCTGGGAAGCGGGTAATGTGAAAAAGGACGACATAATCCAAGATAATCAACTGAATTCCGCGCAATAGGACCTCCGACGCTACGCACAATCGATTGGGGCGGGTGGAAACGATAGAGCTGTTCGGAATTCTTTTTGATGCGCAACTTACTTTCACTTTTTTTCTGCCGGTGGCCCGTGCAGGTGGAAAGCGCAACAACGTAACGCCTAATTGCTGACTCAGCCGAGCAGCTCTCCGCCTCAGGCTCGCAAGCACAGCTCCAGGCAATCAAGCTCCGCGCGGCGTGTAATGCTTGATTGATCCATCATCTTGAATCCCTCACCTTTCCTCCATCTCCTTTTCTTCTCGCACCTTTCCTGACCTCTATATCTTCTTGACATACACTTAAAGCTTGAAAATGTATGTGAACCTCTGTATGTTGATGAGAATCCTCTCGGCTGATTGAAGCGTCTAGGGAGGTTCTATTGGGTATCACCGGCAAGGACTTTGTCCTGGTGGCAGCGTCCAAAGCCGCCATGAGGGGCCCAACTATTCTTAAGGCCGAAGATGATAAGACACGACAGCTTAACAAACACAGTCTGATGGCTTTCTCGGGAGAGGCAGGAGATACCGGTGCGTGGGATTACACATGTGGAGATGGAGGGGTGTAAGCATGGCACAGCTAATTTGCTCCCGATACAGTGCAATTTGCGGAGTATATTCAGGCGAACATCCAACTATATACTATGCGGAATGATACCGAACTTGGACCGAACGCCGTTGCCAACTTTGTCCGAGGAGAACTTGCGCGCAGTCTGCGATCTCGGAGTCCATACACGGTCAACCTGTTGCTCGCTGGTGTCGATGGAATCACCGAGAAGCCTCACCTGTACTGGATAGACTATCTGGCATCTTTGGCACCAGTACCATATGCCGCTCATGGTTATGCCCAGTAAGTTTTGAATATCAATTCTTCATTGCCAGTTCGGTCGCTGTGGAGGAGCACGGAACTAAGACACTCTAGATACTACTGTCTCTCAACACTCGATAAACACCACCACCCCGATATTTCCCTCGAAGAAGGCTTAAAGCTTCTAGTGATGTGCACAGACGAGCTAAAGCGTAGATTGCCGATTGACTACAAGGGGGTACGTTGCAAGAAGATATTTCTATTGAATTGGTACAATATTGGCTAACTGGCTTTCTCCAGGTTTTGGTAAAGGTTGTGACCAAAGATGGCGTGAGAGAAGTAGACTTTGATAATGACAAGATCGTCAAGAGTGCTTAATGCGGTGTTGTATATCATACCATTTTTGTCTTTTGTTTTCGGTTTACGGGACTTGCTTTTCAGACGATCGGTTGCATGGCAGGGTATTTTTCATGACTTTGTAGTCTCGCCCACAAATCTATTCGAGGTAGAGAATAAGAGAAATGACCCTTTGAATGTCTGCTTCTTCGGTCGTATTGTCACAATGCTCCACACGGATTTTACTCACTGTATCATGTATGACGCTGTATATAGCGGGTGTTTGCCGTGTTTGCACTCCGCGGCCCCATCGCGTCTTCCAGCTTTCAATCCCGCGGAGACAGAATCTTCGTGTCTAATTCACCTTTACACAGAGTCATGATGTCCAAGAGGCAAGCTGAGTTGTCGCTCGAGGAAGATACTGTCGCCGGTTCTCCCGCCATTAAAAAGGCCCGTGTGGAGGACGACTTCGAGGAAGGTGATCCGCGCCATGGAGCTCTTCCATTCCGACGGGCGAGCGGCCAAGAGAGAGAAGAGGATGAACGCAAAGGGTATGATATTCTAGCTGCTGCGGACCAGGAGGGTGAAGAGCTGGAAGAAGCGGCGGTGGATAATGGCGCTGAGTCCGATTTCGATGATGCCGACGATGACAGGCCTGTAATTGCGGCTCCCAAGCGCCAAAGTGCACCTATGGAGGGCTATAGCGATCTTTATCTTGATACGATTAATCGCGAAATTCTTGACTTCGATTTCGAAAAACTGTGCTCGGTTACCCTTTCGAATATCAATGTATATGCGTGTCTTGTCTGCGGCAAATACTTTCAAGGCAGGGGCCCGAAGTCGCATGCTTACTTCCATGCGCTTGAAGTCGGCCATCATGTTTTTATCAATATGGGAACCAAGAAGGTGTATGTCCTTCCGGAGGGCTATGAAGTGAAAAATAAGAGCTTGGATGATATCAAGTACGTGGTAGACCCGCACTATAGCAAGGATGAGGTCTCCAAGCTAGACAAGGAGGTACACGATGCGTTCGATCTCGCAGGAAATCGTTATAGACCAGGTATGCTTATACCCATAGATTACTTTCCGCCAGAGCATTATTGACCCTTTACATAGGTTTCGTTGGTATGAACAACATCAAAGCCAATGACTACTTGAATGTGGTCGTGCAACTTTTGGCGCATGTTTTTCCAATTCGCAACTACTTCCTGCTACATGAGTTCCCGACACCTGGCACACCTCAATTAGCTCTGCGCTTCAGCACACTAGTGCGAAAGCTATGGAATCCAAAGGCTTTCCGATCCCATGTGTCGCCGCACGAGTTGCTACAGGAGATTGCTCTTCGTTCATCAAAGCGCTTCACACTGACCCAACAGTCTGACCCGGTGGAGTTTATGTCATGGTTCCTAAACAACTTGCATCTTTCACTCGGGGGCTCTAAGAAACCTTCCAAGACACCAACCAGTGTGGTTCAGGCCGCATTCCAAGGCCACCTGAAGATTGAAAGCCAAGCAATCACTGCTCACTCAGATACCCAAAACGCTCGTCTAGTCTTTACGGAATCTGGCGACATTAAAAGCCAGACCACTCCATTTCTCATCCTCACATTAGATTTACCTCCCACTCCTCTCTTCCAATCCGCCAATCGGGAATCAATCATTCCCCATGTTCCTCTGACAACACTACTAAACAAGTACAACGGCATCACTGCTTCAGAGAAGCTGGCTCATCGAGTCCGCCACCGCCTTCTTCACCCCCTTCCACCTTACCTATTATTCCATATCAAGCGATTCAGCAAGAACAGATTCGTATCTGAACGTAACCCGACAATTGTCACCTTTCCGTCACCCCGCTCCCTGGACATGTCTCCCTACGTAGAACCGAACCCGGACGTTTGGCCGCCAGGTGAACCGATCCTTTACGACCTCGTCGCCAACATTATCCTGGACCCAGCTGTAGCTGTTCCTGGTGCCACCGACGAGGCAGCCGCAGATAAGGGTGTTAACGCAGCATCCGGGTCATCATCGACCGGCGCTGGTGCAGGCAGCGAGAAGGTTTCGTGGATGGTCCAGCTTCACGACAAGGCTATGTCTGCGGAGAATAGTCGACAACACAGCGAGCGTGCTGGTGAACAGCAAGGACCGGAGTGGCTTGAGGTCCAGGATCTGTTCGTCAAGAAGGCAGAAACCGAAACCCTATTCACCCGAGAGGGATATCTTATGGTTTGGGAGCGGCGAAAGGTCCCGGGCATGAACAGTCGGAAGGGGAAGAACCCAGCAAAATAGATGTTGGGACGTCATCATCCACATCGAATACATTCCAGCTCCACAGGTGGGTAGGTACTGGTGTTAGTTCTTAATATGTGATGTGTATGTATGTAAGTTCGTTCCCAGCTTGGTGTCATAGTACCGTTTGTATAATTAAGGTAATGATGATGATAGAAAAAAAAATATTGTTTGGGTATTTTGTCCTTTTCTACATTATTTGAAGCGAGGTAATGTAAATATAAAATCCGGTAGGGCCTTTCAGCATTGATGATGATGTGGCCATAGGCTTCAGTATTATGTTCTGTTATATATGATTCAACTGACTGAACTGCTTCGTCCAAATCGCAATACAAATAGGTGGGTATCTATAGTGGGCATTCCAACAAAATACTCATAGTGTTCCCCATCCGCAGAATCTTCTGCCAATCCTAATTGCTGTGCCTGAGATTACTCCCCATACACCAGCATTTACAGCAGCGTGCAGCCCCATCATAAGAGCTAATTTACCCATGTATGCAAGCATGTCAGACCGAGAGCCACCACCGCCCAAAGCCCCTAGGGCGCGGACATCAGCAGCGGACGATGCATTAGATGATAGATAGGATGAAGCAAGAGAGCGAAGATAGAGAGATTCGAGGGGAATGAAAAGCACGGTTGTGATCATCGACGCGAGATGAGAGGCAAGAGAATCGACAGGATGAGACGATAGTATTGTTATTCGGTGGGCACTTGAAGAATTCGTGTTCTCTGAAGGACCTTCGCGCACATTTGGATCGGATATACGGGGGTATATGCCTGAATCGAAATCGTTCTCCGCAGTTGGCTCCGCTTCGGAGGGATGGTTACGAGTATCTTCCTGGCTGGGCGGCTCTTCCACACTTTCTGGCAGTATGTTGGCAAGACTTGACGACGGCCCTTCGACAGGAGATTCGGCGGTAAAATCATGTATTCCTCGAGCTTCTTGTTGACCTTGAGGCATCAGGCCTAGCACATCTTCCCCATTTCCAGGAGATGCACCTGGCGTCATGTTTGAGAGGCCATCGCTGTCCACGGCATCCGAATGGACAATCGTAGAGAGGCTTTGGTTTTGGTGAGCTAGGATTGTGTCCAAGAGCTCCGTAATAGAGCGGCGATGACCTGTTTCGCCATTAGAAGTTGGAAAGTCGATATCATTACCAGGCCGAGGACGCAATTGGCCCGGGTTCTGAGCATTACGGTTGCCCAAGAGTTCCAACTGCATAGTAATGATATCAGAGTTCTGGTGAATTAAAGAAGCACGAACGTGAGGAGAAGTTGGTGAAGATGTTTCGGGGGATGATTGTCGAGAGAAAAGGGTGTTTGAGCGTGAGTTCTGCTGGCCTTCGTGAGCATCATGTTCGCCATGCGCCTCAGTGTTTACGGCGGGAGAAACATTAGCAGCGGGAGAAAAATCGCTTGTACGGCCTAGTGGAGCCATCTCTGAAAGACCCCCAGTGCTCATCTGTGCTGGTGACTGATGAATCTCGTCCTCATTCGATAGTACACGGTCACCGCTGAAGTCAAATCCGGAATCGGGTACTGGGGCAGTAACAGGTGTGCTGGGCTGACCAGAGCGTGCGGCCTCATGAGCTTGGACCACCTCTTCTGGAGCTGGAGGTACTGCTTGTTGTAACCGGCGAGTTCGGTTTTGTCGTTCATTTTGCAGTTGTTCGACGCTTATAGGTAAGGATTCAAGCCATTCTTGTCTGCGGCGGGAGTCAGCAGCTTGTTCGGGGGCTGCTGATGTTCGTTGCGTCTTAACGCCAAACCACGATAGCATCCAGCCCTGAAGAAATTTTACTTCACACATGAGATCTTCAAGCAAAGAAAGATTGTTACGACGATTCTCTTCTTCAGATCTGCGCCCAAGGGTTGGGGCCATCCAATCGATGAGGTCATTCTCGAGGGCCACTTTGATGGATAGCTCATCCGCAAGCGTTGGTTTTGGTAGTCGTCGGCGAATTAACCGGTAAAGCCTTATCTCGATAACTGGACGAAGATAGACGTAAAGGTAGACAAGAAGTGGAGGGGCTTTCAGTAAGTTCAAACAGAAATCGCCCACGGACTGCAAGGTGAAGGCTGCAGGTATGGGTGGCAATAACATTGTGGTAAGTTCTCCCAAAGGTGCCAGAAACCGGATTCCTGGGAAGCCATACGGATGAACGAGGTGAAGCGATTGTAAGAGTGAATACACATAAGATTGTATAGCGAGAACAAGTAATGTTCCCCGAGCCCTATGCAACCATTAGTTTCTTTTAACACCATCTGACGTCTCGGAACCCACTTACGCAGAATGTAGAATTGTAAATGATGACCGCACAAGTTTCGAAAGTACGTCATTGTCAGGAAATCTGCTTTGCAATGAGGAAATTAAGCGCTCGAGAGGATGATGTCGGCAAATTGATAAGCATGTCGATAGAGCCCATGCTGGAATCCCTGCGAAGTAAAACCCCAATATGCCATATGAAGCACGTTCATGGGCTATGATACCCATCAGGGGAATATGAGTGTAGCTTCTGAATGTCTGCAAAACAAGACTTATGAATCAACTCTCTGGGTAATGTAAACTTCACCTTTCACCATATTAAACTTACCTGTATCCGACCTGTAAGTGACGATGCCCACCATGAGCCTAAGAATGCCGAAACATGATCTAAAGTAGCCATAACCAGTCCGTAGTCATTCTCGGCAGCTATTATATCGATTTTCTGCTGTTCACTGAGTCCACTCGCATTGCCGTCCTCGCTAACAACGATACCCATCGTTGAGAGGATGTCATTCTTAGCTCTCCGCAGCTCCCTCCCGAATGATTTGGATTCAGGATTGATGGGATGCCCCCTCTCATCATAGTGTTGAACATACCCATCCGCATACCGAGGAGATACCCTCTGTTGGGTTGGGCTGCCCAGGTCCACCGTTGGATCTGCAGGGCGCTCAGGAGCTTCATATGGAGAACGACCCTGAATATTAACAGTCAATTATCAGAAGCTTAAAAATTAGAGCAAACAATAAGATAGCAGAATATGATACGATCATGTGGCACTATAGAGACGCATGCGATGACACCAGCCGACAGTGCTTTATATTTGACATTCTAATAGTAAATGGCTTCATAAATGTTGCACGGAGAGATCTGAGGGTAAATATTTGAGAGGAGCAATGAACAGAAGCGTTCGTTATTGATGAAGTAGTATAGAACTAACACAAGCCAAGATAGCAACGGATAGGGAACTGGGAGCCTACCAAAGCCAATCGGTTCAAGTACGCCTGTCGCCCCATGACGTATAATAGCAAGTAAACTTTTTGAAAGCCTCTCTAGATCATTTTTTGGCAGGACTGGAGAATAAGATATCGACGTTCAAGACGATGTTATCGAATGGACATCGATGTTCACGTGGGCGCCTGCCGCGCCTGTAGCGCCTAAAGCACGGCCCCGCTGCGATCGGCCTTTTTTGTGACAAACAAGACAAACATCTCAAAAAAAGAACAAAAGTTTCGGAGCGACAGTACTTTCGACTGCATTGAAGCGATTCAACCCACTTATACTTTCCATTTTATCTTGGATATATGATGGCGCGATAGATTACACAGCGACACTATTTCTGAGATCCGCTCGCGAAAATGTCTAAAGCTGTCGTTAAGACGACCTTCGAGGCGTCTCGGACTTTGCGTCCCATATACACCGGAGGAGGTACTGCGCTAGATGCCAGTGGACGTTTGCTAGTAGCTTGTGTGGGCGAAGATGCTCTCATTGTAGATCTTGAGACTGGTGATCAGCTCGCAAGCTTGGAAGGAGTGAGTTTTGTTCCCATTTGCTCATGTGCGGTGTTGTCGCAAGTTTCTAACCAAACTATAGGATGGAGAGATTATCACCAGCTTGGCTAGTGAGTTGCCCACTCTACATCCTAGCGCTGTTCCTGTTACATTTCAGCTCATTCAAGTAGAGCATATCTAACCATATACTAGTCACGCCATCCGCTTCACATGTGGTCGTTTGCTCGCGATCAATGTCTATGCGCATTTATTCGTTGACTCCCTTCGAAGATTCTTCACGGACCCTCGACGCGAAGCTTGTGCGAAGCCTTAAGCCCCATACTGCACCCGTTGTGACAACCGCTATCGACCAGACTAGCACGCTTCTGGCAACCGGTGCTTCTGATGGCTCAATCAAGGTCTGGGACATTCGAGGTGGTTATGTTACGCACACTTTCCATGGCCATGCTGGTGTCATATCTGCTTTGTGCTTCTTCCAGGTGCCGTTTCAAGATAGCGAAAGCAAGTCCGCCTCGAAGAAAAAGAAATCCAAGAGGAAGTCGGATGATTCTGATGAGGATGAGGACATGGAAGATGCTACCCCTGTCGCGTCTATTGGAGGATTTCGACTTGCCTCGGGCAGTGAGGAGGGCAAGGTACGGGTGTGGGATCTGAACAAGCGGAAATCTATAGCGTCACTCGATTCTCATGTCTCGGTTGTACGGAGCTTATCGTACTCGCCTGCAGAAAATGCATTGCTCTCAGCGGGCCGAGACAAGACTGTCATCGTATGGGATGTCCGCACTTTTAAAACTCGCAGAATCATTCCTGTTCTTGAAAGCGTGGAAGCGGCCGCCTTTGTTGCCGACAGCGGGCTTGCTCTAGTAGGAGGTGAAAATGGAGTGTTGCGTGTCTGGGATTGTAACCGGGGAGGAGAGGTAACCCATGAGCAAGAAGCTGCTGCCGAGTTCGAGGCCATCATGGCAATCCAATACACCCCGGGGATACCATTCGCAATGACTGTACATGCTGATCAAACCTTGAGACTTCATTCACTTGAACCCTTGTTGGATTTCAAGCCTGGATCTTCGCTTGATCCCCTACCAGTTATAAGGCGTATCTCGGGTAACGACGACGACATTATTGACCTTGCATATGTCGGCCCAGATCGATCAATGCTGGCACTGGCTACTAACACTGAGAGTGTTAGACTGGTTTCGGTGGGACGATCCGAAGACAGGCCGTCTGATAAAGAAAAGGATTACTTTGGCGCAGATATCGCTCATCTTGAAGGCCACGACGACATCATCATATGCATTGATGTGGATTGGTCCGGCCACTGGCTGGCGACGGGCGCAAAAGATAACACAGCTCGTCTTTGGTGTCTTGATCCCAAGACGTCCACCTACACCTGCTTTGCTGCTATGACAGGTCATGCCGAGTCTCTGGGTGCTATAAGTTTCCCTCGCGTCCCGCCACCGGCTAACACACCTGCACGAAATGACCCTCTGAGCCATCCTCCACAATTCCTACTCACTGGTTCTCAAGACCGCACTATTAAGCGATGGGATATAGGCAAGTTGGCTCCGCTCAGCTCTTCCAAGCCGCATACCCCAAAGGCGGTTTTCACCCGCAAAGCTCACGACAAAGATATTAATGCTTTGGATGTCAATCCAACATCGACTCTATTTGCATCTGCTTCACAAGATCGTACTGTTAAGATCTGGTCAGTTGAAGAAGGATCGGTTGTAGGTATCCTCCGCGGACACAAGAGAGGAGTCTGGTCGGCGCGATTCTCTCCCCATGGCACCCCCGTCATTAGCTCCAGCGCACAGAGCAGTACAAACAGGGGTCTGATAGTTACTGGATCTGGCGATAAAACTGTCAAATTATGGAGTTTATCGGACTATAGCTGTCTCCTTACTTTTGAGGGCCACACGAACAGCGTGCTCAAGGTGCTTTGGCTTCCGCCTTCAGATTTGTCAACCAAGAAAGATGATGAAGATGAAGATGAATCGGCGCCGGCACAAAACAATGCCACACAGGCGCGCCCTCTCGTGGCGTCTGCAGCTGCAGATGGTCTGGTCAAGATCTGGTCCCCATACACGGGAGAACTCGAGACCACACTCGATAACCACACAGACAGAGTCTGGGCACTAGCGAGCCCGACACCCTCTGGCTCCCGTGCTGATGTTCTCTCTTCCAGCACACATAATATCTCATCCCCATATGCCATTGCCTCTGGCTCTGCGGACTCCACCGTCACATTCTGGACTGACATTACATCCGCGACTTACACTGCTACAGTTAGTGCGAATGCCGCCCGTATTGAGCAAGACCAGAAATTGGAAAATTATATCAGGGCTGGAGCGTACCGTGAAGCCATCACACTAGCCCTCCAACTCAACCATCCCGGAAGGCTACTCTCTCTGTTCACAGCTGCAGTAGATGCTGCTGACGATCCATCCTCAACCGATGCCGAAAAGAGCGAGCGTGCCAACAGTCTAACCGGAAACCCTGCGATTGATGAGGTCCTGCAGACTCTCGACTCCAATAACCTTCGTACTCTTCTTCTTCGGTTACGTGATTGGAACACGAATGCTCGTACTTCCCGTGTTGCACAACGCATCTTGTTTGCATTATTCAGGTCCTATCCCGCCTCAACATTCATCGAGCTCGCCACAGCAAGCATGGCAAATCGACGCAGTGACAGTCGCACTGCAGCCGGTATGAAGGACATTCTGCAAGCATTATCCGCATATACAGAAAGGCATTACCGTCGAATCGAAGAGCTTACGGACGAAAGCTACCTTGTGGAATGGGTTCTAGGAGAAATGGATGGGGGTGTAGGCCTCGGAGGCTTGGGCATCTCTGGCGCTCGGGATGTTACTGACAGTGCTACAGATGATGTACCTGAGCATGAGAAGGACACTATCATGCTGGGAGCATAAGATTGTACTTTGTGAACGAGGATATGTACAGATAGACAAAATGATTTGTGTGTTTGGAATACTGTGATATGTCGGCGCATTCTCTTGGAGCACTGTTGCATTTACATCTGATACGTTATTGGAGGAAAGTGTATTTAAAAGTCTTCTCAGAGGCAACCTTCTGTTGCCGGTAATTGATACTTTCTAAAAGTACTCCAGAGTATGTAGTGTTGTATACCATCTTTTAGGCCCAGTTTGGTCTACGCTTTCCCCCTCCACATAAACTAAGAAGAATGTTATATCAGGCGCGACTTACAAGGTACCATGATCATCGGTACTTAGCATGGGAGATGAAGCATTATGTCGTGTTCACATAGGATAAAAATTCACATCACTATATACCGCAATGACAGTGGTGGTTGGTATCCAAGGTATCTAATACATTTGTATCTCAACAAGTCTATAATGAGGGTTTCGACAATATCGCTGATCGGGAATATCACCTGTCATCATGCCTCCGTCTCCGGTAAGAGTCACGGTCACTGTCTCGATCCCGATCACGGTCTCGACCATGTCTGCTTGATGTATTGGACGAGTGTCTGCTGGAACTATAGCGATCATCATCCCGGTACCTGCGGCTCCTTTCTCTGTCTTTCTCCCGCTCACGACTGCGATCGCGCTCGCGCTCGCGACGACGGTCGCGGTCACGATCTCTATCCCGATAGGACCGGTCGTCCCTACTGTCGCCATCGTCATCGTCATGTCTTCGTCGTCTCGAATGACTTCGGTCTCTCCTGGAGGATCCCGTTTTCCGCCTGTCAGAACGATCATCATCGTCTCGTTCGTAGTCACGGCGCCGGTAATCCCTATCCCGGTCTTTGTCACGTCCACTCCTTTCAAGATTGCGATCCCTTCGTTCTTTCCATTCATCATCATCTCTCTTTGACTTTGCCTCCTTCTGCAAGGCTGTGAGTTCCTCCTCTGTTATTGACTCGCCTGTCTTCTTATTCCGCATCATAACCGGCATATAAACACCCTCTGTGCTGGTCTCCCCTTCTTTACCATTTTTCCTAGCTCCTTTGCGCATTGCAGCCTTTCCCCAAGCACCAAGCTCCGCTTCCGCCCCCTTACCTCCCGATGCGTCCTTCGCCCCAATACCCAGAAAGCCCGGTCGACGCTCAGGAATCCGGGGTTTATCGAGAACCGCAGAGGAACCATATTTCCCCTTTCCAACGGCCTGGCCTTCTTTCCAGCCCATTCCTCGAAGTAAAGCGGCACCAAACTCTTCTACAGGAATCGCATTATACTGATCCAGTGTTGCTGACTCAGGCCGAGAAGCAATATCAGCCTGGAACGAAGTAGTTTCATCGTAGCGTCCCCCAGTTCCACCTTCCTCCCCGTCCACTGGTCTAGACTCAATGACAAGATCCGACCGTCCCTCTGTCTCGCCTTTACTCTCACGGATAAGCGCACGAAGGGCAATCTCATCTTGCGTAAGCGGCTTCTGTTTCTCCTCACTTGCAGGCTCGGCATCTTCCATCGGCTTATCGCCCGCCTCTCCCTGAGTATGTTGCTCTGCACTCCGCTGCTGCGCGAAACTAAGACCGTAAGCCATGCTCGGACTATCCGTCTCTGTATTTTCTCCGGCAATCTCGCCTCTCTTAGCAGCTTCCTGTATCGCTTGGACCTCCTTCGGGAGCAGATTCTTTCCCTTAGGTTTCTGGCTGACACCGGGCCGATTCCGCCAATTATTGTTGCTTGCGACCGGTATAACTAGCTCGCGCTTTTCATCCTTTTTGTCTGCAGATACGGCGGTCCCTGTTTCTGTATCGAATTCCGTGACGGCTTCATGCACCGGCGCTCTCTCTTCTTCGTCGGATTCATCGTCATGGAGATGATGAGGTCGGCGCGCAAGTGTTCGGCTGGGGGTGTCGGCTCCCCGAGTAGATCTTTGGAGATTGAATGTGGTTTTCTTGGTCTGTCCATTTGAAGCTGATGATCCCCCGCCTAGCGATAGTGAGAAAGGCTTCGACGAGCTGTCCCGCGGCGGGTGTGAAGCCATTGTTTTGAGTCTTTATTTTGATCGCAACAGTTAAGTAAAATGGCGCGAACCCATAACCAGACAGGACGCAAACCGTGACTTGAATCTTCGGCGACGAAGACTATTCAGTTTGTTTCTGCTTCGACCGTTGAGAGGTCGCTTCCTTAAAGGAAAAGCGGTTATGGGTGGCGATGCCATTTTTTAAGCGCGCGCTTATGTGTGAAGTTCCCGTTTCGGGAGTCAGGTGCTATCTATCGATGAAAGATATCGTGATAATAATGAGATAAGCTAGTCGTACAGTCATAGTCATTGATGTCTTTTCTAGATATTGTATTTCACCCATGCCAACCAATGTCCAAGTACGTATGTGTACTTTCGTCTCCGTCTTATCAATACATGTAGTACAAAATAGGGGTAACAGGGTACGAAACAGAATCGTGGCTTGGAGATGCTTCCAACCAATCGTGAATCGTATGCCAATGCATGATATCAAAAGTCAATGCTAGAGTGTAGAGGCGTGTAAGAGTTTGGGGGAACGTCAGGCGGGGCAAGGTAGTAAAAGGTGGTGAGAGGGCAAGAGTGATGAAACAGAGGTAAGGTGAAGGGGTATGGAAGGTAGCATAATATTGCACGCGGTTGTTAGAAAGGCTAAAAGGTAGAGACATGGGGCGGAGGGTATGGGTAATCAATAAAGAGTTAGGGGTCAAAAATATTTACAAACGAAGATTAAAGGCACAAGTGCAGTAGATACGAGCTGCCAACCGCCAGTGCTTCTGAAGCCCAAGGAGCTTAGCTGCTAGCGGTTTGGGCCTGTGGAGGGTTCGGGCTCTTGTTCGAAGGTGGCATAGGACCACCCTGAGCACTGCCACTGCGTTGAGTCTGCGGTGTTGCGCTGCGGCTTGGTTGAGGGACAACTCCATTCATGGCCGGCGAGTTTCCAACGCCCACTCGGTTTTGTTGAGCAGTTTGAGGCACTCGCATCATAGGCGAGTACCCTTGCGTTTGAGGCATCTGTATCCCAGGGCTACCATTCATGCCGCTCGGAGGAGATTGAAAGTTTCCATCTTGCGACATCTGATAATTGGCCTGGACGGCTCCAATATTCCCAGCGGCTGCATTCATTGCAACCTGAGACATTCTCTGCTGTTGATACTGATGCAATCGTTCGGTGGCCAACTTATTCACTTGCTCTGCGGGCATCCCGGGGTGCGTTCTCTGGATCTGGTTTTGCAAGCTGCTAATGGTCGGTACAACCCCACTTGACAACAGATTAGGCTGTCCCATGCGGGGTGAGGGAGTAGAGACTCCTTGGGGAGTAGCGTTGTGAAACGATGGGCTTTGCATACCACCCCCAGCCTGGAGAGCAGCCATCATGGCGGGATTGTTCGGGGTCCCATTAACATTGGGTACGTTCATATTCGGGGAATGAGATCCCTGGCCCACAAACTGTTGCTGGTTGTGAAATTGCTGCTGAGGTTGCTGAGGTTGAGGCTGCGGGTGTTGCGGTTGCTGCCTAGATTGTAAGAGCCGTTGTTGCTCTTGAAGGCGGTTGGCTTCCCGGATGACCCGAGTGTTGTCTGGAGTCGTTTGCATTGGCATTCCAGGTCGAGTGGCAGTTGACTGTTGCATTCCGGACTGGGGCACCATTTTCATAGCCATGGGATTAGGAGGCATGTGGCCATTCGCAGGTCCGCTTCCAGGAATTGCTTGCATATGGGGCCGTCCTTGGTTGGCACCAACGCCAGGCGGTATTCCATTCGGCATTCCATTCGGTAGCCCATTCGGCATCCCATTAGGAGTATTGGCGGGCATAGAGGGGGTTCCAGGGTTCTGAGGCATAGCATTCGGAGTTCGGCCAGGAGCGTTCATCATAGGCTGCTGGTTAGGCATTTGCCCAGCACGCTGAGCTGCCAAGTTCGCCTTTAAAAATCTCATTAGCAATGATTCGAATTCTGTGCCTGTGATGGAAAACTACCCTCTGTGTGGCTATCATCTGCTGCCGGTATTGTTCTTGCCTCTCCTGCAGTTTTAACTCCCGCTCATACTTGAGTCGACTAAACTCGGCAGGTGTCGAAATAGGGGGCTTTGGCTGGTTGGCTTCGTTGACTTTTCTCAATGATGCTAGTTGAGAAGCTGAGAAAGCGTTAGTACGGCGTATATTAGATTGTCAACCTCTTGTTTCCTCACCGTGTTGTTGCTTTTGAAGCATCGTCTCCCGCTTCTTGGCCAACTTGCGCATGGCATCGAGCAAAGCAAGATGCTTCGAGGACCGTCTACGGTCTACCCGGACGGGCTGTGTGGTTCGCCTACGAACTGGGGGTAATGACTGGGGGTTATTATTGCCCTGTTGCTGTTGCTGTTGCTGTTGTTGCTGCTGTTGTTGCTGCTGCTGCTGTTGTTGCTGCTGCTGCTGTTGTTGCTGCTGGGCTGCTTGCTGCTGCGCTAGAACAGTACGCTGTGCTGTCTCCAGCCTTTGATGATAAGCCCTGAAGTACTGTGTCTTTGACATATCCGCAGGCAATCCCTCCAGACCAATCCAACGTTCAAAGCATTCCCAAGGGGTTCGCCTCTCCGCCCCAGAGGTGAATTGCGACGAAGGAGTCAAACAGCTAGAGATCAAAGACCAGTTGTAAGAGTACTCCTTCACAAGACGGCGCAATTCATCATCCTCTGCCCATGTCCATTGAGATGACTGACGGGACTCAAAGAAGCCAACCGAAGGCATAGGGTATTCAGTTGGAGGCCTAAAGGTATGCCCCGGGTGAATACGATCACGTATATGCTTGTTCTCGGGTCGGAAGAGGGCAACATTTGTCTGCTCTGGCGGCAGGTCCAACAACCCTTGCTCTGGATCGGAATAATACTGCGAATAATCATATCGACTACGTTTTCGTGGCGGTTCATCATCAAGGAATGCTATCTTTCCAGAAGCGTACTTTGAGACTGGTAGAATCTCAGTCTTCCACACAGCATCCGGAGATTCCTTGAAAGTCGGGAGGTTGGTTTCTGGAGCAATCCCAACTGGAGAGTAGACAGGAAGTTCATCCAGAAGCTTTTGAGCTGCCGGCGTCATATCTAGCGAGAATGTGAATTCATCTGAACTAAGGGAGAATATTGCTGCAGGAGCAACCGTATCATGTAAATCATGGCGCGGCTCATCATTATAGCCCTCGCTAACCGAGTCTTCATCTGTTGAAGGTACTAGGTCTGGAGTCGGGTGAGATATTCCCAGCATTTCATCTCCTGTCTCTTCTGGAGGCGACATCATATTAGTATCAGGTTCGACCTTCTTCTCTAATTTGAGTGGTGGAGTCCTAGCATGCACACGGAGCAACGACCTATGTTCTGGCTGGCTGTTGACATATTCAGCACACCAATCTGCGCAACTTTTGGCTGCTGCGATCTTCCACTTCCTTTCTTCGCGAAAATCAGTGCGCATCCACTTCATGTGATCTAAAAGAACATCCCAGTGCGTCCCTTGGCGAGGAGGCTCTAGTGATCGCTTCATTTGGCGCAATGGCCACCGATTTGCATTTTGAAGCTGATAGATGCGGCGAAGGGTGCGACAATCCATTTGCTCTTGATATTCAAGGTGATGATTTGCGGTGGTTAAGGTTTTATGAGCAGAGGCAAGGAGGGTACTGAGGCTTATGCCTCGAGGGGGGCTATAGGCCTTGCTCTGGAACAAGGTGAATAGATAATCCCGTTCCTCGTTCAACTTTGCCAGGTCACCAGTATGCTGGCGGACAAGATCCATGGAGTCGGCTTGATCCTGCAGTTGTTGTTGTTGCTGCTGCTGTTTTGGAAAAACAACTGTAGACAGCTTGCTCCTTTCTCTTTCCCGTGCCTTCCTGTCCTTGAAGCTTAATCTTGCTGTGGAGTCACTGGAAGCCTTGGATACAGCTCGCGCCTCCTCTGCGGGTTTCTCAGTAGCAGAGGCTTTATCAGGTTGTACCACCGCCGGTTTTGGGGCTTCGCCGAGGATTTCAGAAACAGATTTATGCCGAATGGCACCGGAAGAGACTCTGGTTGTCATTCTTTCGGGCTGTGCTGGCCCAGAAACGGTTTGTGTGCTCTTTTTCGGTGCCGAAGTTGCTGGAGCCAGTGCTTTAGGTTCTACCGCATTCGAGGGTTGGACCTGTTCGGTTTGGGGTGACGCAGGCACCCCGTCATCCTCTGCGGGTTCGACCACTCCATCAGGCTTCTTTGATTCCGGTGCTGGGAGTATATCGACCGAAACTTGCTCCTCTTTCAGCGAATCCTCGAGGCCTGCCGGTGCTGAGTCAACACTCTCTTGCAGGACTTCATTCGTCGTCGAAGACCCATCGGTGCCACTATCCCCGATTGTTTTCTTCGAGGCCAGCGAGCTTTGCCGAAGCGATTGCGCCTCTTCTAATCGAAGCTGTTCATCCGGCGTAGATGGTACCAGGATTGGAGGTACTTGGGTAGGTTCCTCAGGCTTAGGGCTTGGTTCAATCTTATCGGTGGGCCCAGCTCCCTCCGCTGCAGGGGTCGTCTCTGGCGATACAGCAACCGGGGCAGGAGTATTGTTGGAATAAAGACCGCCAGAAGACACAGGAGAGAGCGGTTGTTCGTTGCGAGGAGCCACTCGACTTAGAATGAGAGACGGCCGTTCATCATGCTTCTTTTGACCAGACGGCACTTCAGCGGGCCCAGAAGCAACCACAACCGGTGGTGTCGGCTTGACCTGGCTCGGTGAGACGCTAACCTCTGCAGAGTCATGGCCTTGGTTGCTCTTGGGAGTTCCTGGCACAACAGAGATTATCTTCTGCTCAGGGGCCGGCGATTCGGTCGGGGTTGCGGCGACTGGAGTAGATGCATTAAGACCTTGCAAGCCTTCGGAAGTAATGCCAGGCGCAGGCTGAGTAGGGGCTTGAGCTTCTTGCTGTTGCTGCTGTAGTACGGTGCCCGGAGGTTTCTGATCAGGTAGCTTCTGGGGCAGTGGTATCTGCTTGCCGACCTCAGGAGCAGTTTGAGAAACAACAGCTTCTACACCCGCCGGCGGACTGATAGGAATGGCATTGGAAGCTTTCGATGGTTCGGGACGTGACTGCACAGCTTCTTGGTACTTGCGCGATAGAATCTCTGCGTAATTAGGTAAGGGTGGAAGGGTGGCTTCATCGTAATAGCGACCTCTTCAGAAGTCGATCAGTAATTGCGACCAATTGGAGTATATAGTATTACATGT